CTTGAATTGCTAACATTTTCATTTTTTTACTACTCACTCACTTCTTCAATACTAACAAAAAAAGAAAAAAGAAAAGAGAGAAAATGGATGAAATGTCTGTAAAACTACACAGGAAACAATTTGCACCGAGTGACACACACAAACACACAATATACAAGAATACAAGACTCATGTTACCAAGAGAAAGCAATTTGTACGTACACTGTATTTAACTCAGAATATNACTCCTTTATTCACCACAACGCAGATATCAAGCACGTATTCGTGTTTGGGTGGTCACAGAATACGTGCAACACCACTCTCCACTGAGAGGAACACCACTGCAATGCATTCGATAAACACAGTTTCATTCTTTTATTTTTGTATTGTTTTGATTTCATCCACATCGTTCCAACTGGTTGTCCAGTTCATTTTTCTTTGACACTGCTTTCTTTTCTGTTCTGTATTAAAAGAAACAACAAAGAAACAATCCCATTCTCTTTCCATCATGCACAAAAATGTTAACATTAACAAAGGGTCTCTTGGTGAGATCCACCATCTCCCCTCCTTTCCCCTTCAATCACTAGAGAAAACCACTGCAAGAGAGGCGACAGTGCAACAGACAACACGCACTTTCGTCTCTGCATTGCCTCAATACTACTTCTCTCATCATCATCATCATCATCAGTCTGCAATAAAGCAAAAAAGAACAACAACACTGACTATTCACAAAAACAGCAGCATAAACTTTATTTTATTTTCTGCATCACACCCTGTGTGCAAGAAAACACAACCCAAGTGAAAAATACAAACCACACCGAAGGAGTTACACCATCGTAGAGGAGCAGCTAGAAGGTAACAAAACCACAGCCATAGCCAACCACAAAAAAAAACCTGAAAAGATCCCCTGGTAGGAGGCTTCATCTTGTCAAGTTACAACCCTCTCCAGTAGGCAATCCAACCCTGTACAGCAAGAGGAATATATTGGTATAATACACACTGCAATACCTTCTCCCAGGTCTTTAAAACCCCAAAAGAAGATAAGGAAAAAAAGAACAAGTAACA